TTTAAAACCATTATGTGACCGATTTTCAAAGGAAATTTGCTCTTTTTGACATAGCGACCATTTGATATAACAACCAGATTGGGGCAGTCCCGATGGGGTCGTTATAACGCGAGTCAACTGTATTAAGAAAATGCCTCATTTTGTTAAACAGCAAATACTAAAAATTGAAATTTGTAAAAATATTATGAAGTCATGCCAATTTTAGAATTATCATCTGATTTAAATAATGCAAGAAGAAAATATGCAACTTTCAAACTTATTTTGATTTTAAAAAATATGCAGCAAGAAGATTAACATACTTTTTACAGAAACTGTGAATACAAATTTTTACTTAATTTCGTCATAGGAGGATAAGAATGATATTGCTCCAAGGTACCTGCTCAATAATTTCATTATTTCCAGAATTAAAATCTATTTAGACAAAAGCCTTGAAAGCTAAATCAAGAAAAAATTTAACTAGTATTATTTATCTAAGCTTATTCCATTAATTTAATGATAGCAGTATCAAGGTTAAGGATATGCAATGAAAGCCTGTTTACTATTATACGATAAATACATTGAATCCTATAACTTGAATAATTTATTTTAAGCAAATTATTTAATTATTTTAAGTAAATAAGGGTGCAAAAATAAACTTGATTGAAGTATGCCTAAAATATATATAAAATTATCCTTGGGGAAAAAAAATAAAAAATACATTTTCAAACTGTCCTTACTTCGTATAGCTGTCCTTGTAACTATTTAATTTTGATATCTGGTGCTAGGTGACAATTTACACTCGACTTTTGAAATTTCAATTGTAAAGTAATTTTTTTTATGTCCTTAAAAATGTTATTAAGGCTACCAGTAAAAAAACTGCACTGCATTGATTTTTTTAAAAAGTAGTGACTAATTATTTTTTTAATCTAAAAACCAATACCTTTATCTTACATAAAACTTATTTTAATATAGCGTAAAATAATTTAATATACTGTGTAACTAAATGGATAATCTCAAGAAACTGAATCGGAAAGATAAAAACTTCATTGATTTAAAAAATAATAGATAACAAAAGTAGACATATTTGGAGCATCCAATAATTAACGACACAAGTCATTCATGCCTGACGAGTCTTGAGAATGGGTGCTTATATTTGAATGCTCAAAACATGTCGAATTTTGTTTCCCTATACATATTAAAAATGTAAGAGAACCATAGATTTTGTGTTCCATAGTATAAACCTTGTAACTATGAAGTTATCTTTAACTTTAAAATTAAGATTTTGAGACCAGATATTTTGAGTTAATGAAATTGAATATTTTATCTTTTAAGTTTTTGTGTCACCATTTCAATACCTTATGGACCTTACGAACTCTGTTCAAAAAGAGAATATCTCATCAGATATATATAAGAAAACGAAGAAATCACAGTAGCGGTATTTGGCGTTAAATGTAGCTTATCGTAATTGAATTAAAGAAATGTTGTGCGACATTTTATGCTGAATCTGTGAAAATGAGTTTCAGAACGTATAAAAAAATCAGGATGCTAGTTGCAAATCATCTTTATACACAGAAAACCATGTAATCTAAATACCAGGCAGAACAAAGCGAATATTTAAACAATAAATCAAACAATATGCAACATATTATTTTAATATGTTATTCTTAAATATAACATATTTCAATGTTTTTAAAATGCCACTTAACATTCAGAAATTTTCCTTCAGTTATAGAAAAAAGAAATATCGTAAATTATATAAAACCTTGTGACTGAGCATTAGAATTACTATATAATCAACATTTTATTTTTCAGGCACTTTTGTTTTGTTTCTTTAAACTTCATCCCTAAACTTTTATATATAGTTATAGTAGATATGTAAATTTGATTTTAGTATGAAATCCTCCTATAAATTAAGTAAAAACAACATAAATCCAAATAATGTCAGATAAAAAGTTCATGTATTCAAATTCTATAAGCTTAGAAAATCATAAATAATTTATAAATCGATTTAAACTTTCTTGTCAGAGGAGATTAAAAAAGAAAAAATCTTTGCACTTTGGTTAGAAATCAGCTGAAAAATAGCTATTGCCTAGAAACTTCTAGACATTTTCCACCAACTATTAATAAATAAATCTCTCCGAGCAATCACACAACCTTATTTCCATTTTTTTATAGTCTTAACTTGGTTGCTTAGCAACGGAGTCGGGGTAGCAGCAAAGTTTTTAAAAATTTTAGGGTAATTTTAGGAGCTTTTTTCAAAAAATTTTAGGTAAATTTTAGGAGTAATATATGATTTTGCTAGGATAAAAACAGATCACACGGTAGTTTATTACATAACAGAAGATTATTACAATTCATCCACACATATCATAAATAATAGCAAGCCATAAAATAAAGCTCTGAAATTTATTAAGTCAAGAATGAAATCTCTAAAGCGTAAAAATGAAATTTCAACTTTACATATTACCTATCAGAAATTAAGTGCATAATTCAGGAACAGGCAAAAAAGAGAATAAATCAAGAGAAAAAATAAATTAACACCAACTTGGATTTTTATTTAATTTTTACCTTCTTAATCAAAACTTTATTATTACCCTTTACCTTACTTTATTAAGAAAAACTATTGTGTGATATTATTAGATTTCAAATCAGCAATTTATATTAGAAGTTAGAGAAAAACAAATTAATCATTATCATTTTTCTAATATATTCTTGATATGATTTGTGAGATTCTTTTACTGCCCTCAATAGTGTTGTGGTGATCTTCAACACTCCTCCATAATTTTGAATGGTATCTTTGATTAGTCTAAGAGACATAACAGTATTCTCATGGTGACTCACATTAAGCATTACTTTATTTATCGAAAAACCTCTCTCAGGATCAGAATTCCCATGTGGCAAAATTAAAACAGTTTTAATTAATGTAGTTAAATTCTTATATTTCAGATTATTGCTTTTTTATTTATATTTAGCCTATAACTCTAATTTTTTAGGAACACTAACAAAATTTTATCAGATTTTTAGGAATTTTAGGGTTTGCACATAGTTTTAGGAATTTTATGAATTTTAGGGGGAATGCGACCCCTGACGGAGTAAAATTATATATTCCTCTTGAATTAGTCTATGAGCTATCTAACAATATTCATTTGCGGCAGCAATTTTGCTTGGCTGTTCTTTGGGACAATGGCCAAATATATATAACTTATTAGGCCTCCAATCTATGATTTTCGAAATTTTGTCTACCCCTTTATTTTGAGGGTCAGGTATCGCAATACGTGAAATAAAATATATGTTTATTCAGAGAAAGTGCATTTTTGTGTCTAATTTCGTAACTTAATTAATAGTTAGCAATAATTAGTTAGCATATTTGAAATCACCCCCAGAAACCGTTAAGATTGACATTTAGTATGTGAAAATCCGATCATTGGAACAAAAGTTATTCAGGGTGATATCTTTTTTTTACCCACTGTTCCACTAGGCTTATTGTACAATTTAGCTCACTGTATTAATAACATAATTTTAAGTTTAAACCCAAATTATTTCTTATAATTGAGTAAAAGTTATCAATTACATACTTAAAAATTTTTAAATAAGTCTATGGAAAATTTAAAGTATTAAATAAATATTTAAATTCTTAGAAATTCAAAGCAGTTTATAATATTTTCTATCTAAACTTAGCAATCCAAATTTATGCAAGCACTTTTTTTTTTATAAATATTGATTTTTCAATTCAGCATTCTACTGTGAAATTCATTCAAATTAGTAATATCATCGAACCACTTTTCTGACTGAGCCATTAAACTTCACCAATCAGACAACTCAAACAACCGCATCAAAGATAAAACAACCACTTTTCTGATGGAGCTATAATTTTCACTTAAGTTAGCTTGAGGCTATATTGATATACAAAGATTCATAGTCTTTCAATCAGGATATATTAAGATACATACATAATTTTCAAATCAGGAAATGAAGCTGTGTAAAAAAAAGCAACCCATGTTTGTCTAATATTCAAACTAAATAATAAAACATTTTTGCTGACGACTGGTACAATAGAGTAGAATGTCAAGCTTCAACATGCAAACGCTGTAAGCAAAAAGTAAAAATGGCATGATTTAAAATTCGTACATGTTCACATTAGTTTTCATCTAATGCTGTATAACAATTTGCATTCAAAACAGTAATGAATCTAAGATATCTAAGGGATAATTTTTAAACACTATAGCCATAATTTGCAACATTTATGCTTTTTACAAAAGACATCTAATATCCCATCTTTGTTGCGGATTTTCTTGGGGTCAGTGACCTTCTGGAGCTTATCTGACATATTAAGAGGATAACAACAAGACATTTCTTAAAAGTAGCAAAATTTAAGCTTCAGATGTTAATTGTTGATTTAATAAATTTCATTTGAATTGATTTTGACCACCATAATAATAAATGATTCAAACATAAATGTATATGGTCTGATATCATGCAGGAATGTTAAATAAAGTGAAAAACAAAATCAGCTTATTTTTAATAAATAAAATTGCTAATTATATGTATTCCTACTTTGAAATTTAGTATAATTTATCTATGTTTGGTGTGCAAATGTTTTTTGTTTCACCAATACATAGATTTTTTTTAATATAAGACTATGAAATTGTTAGGGGATCTAGATTCATAGATTAGTATGTTTATTAATTTTTCAAATAAACATAATGGAAATTTCAACTAATTTTTGAACTTCACTAAACAAAAAATATGGGAATTATTATTTTCATTTACCTTATCAAAAATGTTATTAAAAAATCACACTATTTTGTTTATGCTGCTCATATTTTGTATACATTTTGTAATTTTGTATTTGGGACAGACTTTTTCCCTAGTTAGTTCTCCATGAGTTTAACAACAATTGATACTGTTTGTGTAAAATATTGAGCTCAATGTTATTAATTCAAGGTCATGAAAAATTTAGTAACTATTTATTTTCAAGAAACCTCCCTTATATTCTTCAATTAACAAAACTAACTACTAACCTAGCAGCAACCATTAAAGCTCGATTGTTTCCATAAATAGTAAAACAATGGGGAACTCCCATTCTAGATTCTGTCTCCTCAACCACAATACCCTGTAATGGTAGCTGCCCGTGAATTTTGAATTGATGTTGATTAATTGGACCTCTATTTGCATAGAGCAGTACATCAGAAAACTAAAACATAACAGAAAAGCAGCACATTAAAAAATGAAAATAATTCCATAATTAAACTTGATATCAATCTACATCATTATTTAATTATTAAAACTAAATTACAAATATCAAATAAATTGTGTATTCAAAGCCACATTCTAGAAGAGTTGTTTGAAAAAAAAGTCTGATTATAAAAATAGTTTCATAGCTAAATATTATTTCAGAAACAGCAGTTTCATGGTTACTATGAAAAAAACATTGTTTAAATTTATTTGTAGAAAATTCTAAAGCAAAAACAAACTTATAAAGACTGTTTAATGAGGAAAAATCAAAAATTTTGTGTCAACTACATGTTAAGATTTATCTAAAAATATTGAAGAGAATATAGAAACCAATAATGAAATTCAAATCAAAGTACAAAACAGTTTGAATTTTCTTTTATAAAAGGAGTTGAAATGAAATTGGAAAATTCAGAGATTAAGGAAAAGTTTCTCAAAAAAATTATTAGTTCACTTTAGTCTAATATTTTTTAGTAGATCAGATTTGATAATTGGAAAAGGGGCACATTATGCAAACTTTAAGTAATAGAAAATGCGCTTTATGCTAAAGCCTATGCATTTGGCAGAAACGTTAAAACTGCTTTATATTATCCAAAAATTTAGCTATGCATATTTGAGTTATAGAAGTTTTATGTATACTACTTATAGAAAAGAAAAGACTGAAAAAAATATTAGCTTACAGCAAAAATATGTCTAAACAATTATTATAACTGTGATAAGTCAAGAGAATGTAAACAATAAAATACAAGTTAGTCATAAAAAAATTTCAAAAAATGACTTGTTCAGTTAAATATATATTATTATTTCTGTGTATTATTTATTGTGGAATACAATCTACATCAGCAATTTTTGACATGTTGAGAATAAAGTGGTGTAGTATCTAACGCATAATTTTAATTCAATTGAATTTTGATTCATTGTTCTCACTCTTATCTTTCTTCCAAATGTATTATCTTGTTACAATAATCCTGTTACAAATGCAATCATAATAAAATTAATAATATCTGCATAGACCTTTTCTGAATCTAGCAAAATCCTGTCTCTGTTGTTTAAAAAAGAAATTTATATATAAATTTATAGCTTTGTGATTAATCCTTAAAAATTTTGGAACGTGAGACTTTTAAAACATAAAACTGAGTGAAACTTCAAAACGATCGTTCTTATAGTTACTAAATAATCGAAGAATATTATACTTAACAAATTATTTGCTGAATGCAAATGATTAAATTATTAAATAGTGAAACAAACTAAACAATTTTCTTTATTGCACCATGGAAAACTACTTTTGAAAAGGACTTAAAAATAGAAGAAGCATATATTATCAACCAAACACTTAGTGCACGCTGCTGTTGAAAAATGTAAATGAATAAAGCATTTAAAAATAATTTATGTCAAATTATCATTGGAAGACTGTAACCCTATTTTTAAAATGGTCCCAAAGAATCTGTAAATATTAATGAGTTAAATGATTAGGGTTATATTTGCAATTTTACTTATTTTTTCCTAAGAGACCTTTTCTATGTAGTTGCATTTTAATTATAAAAACTTCTGTCTATTTTTTATCTACCTAAATAACTGTTGATCTAGTAAACAGATTTTCATACACTAAGGTGCAATCTTATTGGTTTGAAAGGCTATTCTTTAAAATGCTAATTAATTTATGTAGAAAATATCTTAAGTTATAACATCAAATATCAAAATGTACTTTGAATGAACATACCTTTTTTTTCAGTTAGATTATTGCCCATCAAAATTTTAGGGATTGCTGTAACTTGGGATATATTTCAATAAGTCAAAACAGTAATTGAAAATTTGGAGCCCTTAATGTTAATTTTCAATTCTACATATTTTGTTTTTATTTCTAGATCTATTCAGTGAATCAAAACTTTTGCACACAATTATAAAACTATTATATCTAAATATAATTCCATATAAAATATAATTTTTAGAAATCATTTAAAAATTCTCAGAAATTGCCTGATTTGATGATGTCTGAGAAAAAAAATTTTACTGAGAAAAAAATGTTTTCTGAGTTAAGGAGATTTCAAAAATTTCGTATTTTCATTTTTATTAATCAAAAATTATTTGATTGATCCTGTTCAAATGAATTTTCCCATTTAAAATTACAGTAAAACCTCACCTTATAGTCACTTCTAAAGGCAACCACCTCACATTACAAATAATTTTGAATACACCTGATAATCTTAGTTGAATAAACTATAATATACAATTTTCCTAAAACAGACTATCTCTTAACCCTACATAGATAGAAACTAGCAAACAAAAAAAGCCATATTTCAATATTTTCAAAGCAGATACTAAACATTTTTACAAGTTATTTTTTGAAAATTTAAAATTTTTAAATTTCAATGTTACAAAGCTGTGAGTGTTTTCCACGGATCAAGTAAGTTTCATGGATCAAATAATCAAGTAAGGAGAAGTTCAAAATTAAATCAATTTATTCAATCAATCAAAATTAACATTTCGTTATAGATTTTGCTAATTACTATATGTGCATGGCAACAACTAATCATTTTGTAATGTGTATTGCAACAACAATTTTTCATTAAAAGCAGATATTTAACTGGATATATATTTATTAATAGATATTTAACAGGTGACATTAAGAAATGAATTATGTAATGCTCATAACTACTTATATTGTACATAGTTTTAAACAGTTTTCTTTGAATTTTAATTGTTCTGATTTTATGTATAAAGTTTAAATAAATATTAATGAAACTTCTTATTTATAATTATATGTTTATTCGATCATTTTATTGACTTAGTTAAAACAGTTCAATTAACTCCTTCCCAAAAGAGGAGAATTTTCTTAACATTGATGGTGTCTGCTTGATTAAGGTTTCACTGCAGGGGAAAGAGGTATATGACTGGGTAGCTAAGATTCAAGGGCCTGTTGGAGCTAAACTGTTTGACCTATACGCTATCAGATTTAATAAAGATATTCAATGTTTAGTTGTGTACAATATATCATTCCTAAAACGTTGCAGATATACTACTTTTTCTACAAATAATTTTCTAGAAAAAATCAAAACACCCATCTCATCCCACTTGTGGAGTGAGACAGGGTATGCATGTTAAGTCTTTGGGAAATTTAGGAATACTAGAATTTCCATGAAAAAGTAGCAGACATTTCTATTTTAATGACAATTTAAGAAAATTATGTGTGTAATTTACATGTGATGCAGTCAAGGTCATACTCAAGGGTGGGGGGTACGGTACAATTGTCCCAAGACTAGTGAGGTTCTTCCTCTGCTACACTGCAGCTTTTATAGTCCCGGCATAGATTCACTTTAAAGAGGGAAAGGCGAAACTGGTTAGTATCCGGTCTTACCCCAAGAACAGATGTTAGAGAAACGTAACAGAACAGAGCGATTATTTGGCTAAATCTTTATTGTTTGTTAAGATATGAATTTCTAGTAAAGTATAATAAGCTGGACTAAAAATAATTTTTGTAACTGTAATGACCAATAAATAAGGATAGTTTCAAAACAAAAAAAAAACATAAGAAAGTTGACATAGTTAACAAACCTATCTACACAGAGGCCGCATATTAATCAACAATAAACTATTTTAATCATATTTCTCAGAATGCAGCTAACCCTGCTACTTTGAGGAACATGAATCTAAATGCACTAAAAAAAGGGTAGGTTCATTTAGAGAAACTATGTTTGCTTCTGATATTGTAACTTAAGAATTTGCACAAAATACTTAAGGTTAGTCCTTCAAACCATTGGGATTTAATCTTAGTGTGTCACACTTTAATCATTAAAACTAAATCTGATAAGGTTTCTTTTCTTTTTCATGTAAAATTTATGTCAAAGGAAAATACAATTTTTACTCACATAAGATGTAACACATTCTTTTTTATAGAACTTTTGATGGTTTTGTGACCATTAATTAAAAAAATTTAAAGATAATAGTATTATCAACATTGTCTATAAAAATATTAAAAAACAAAAAACATTACTAGAAAAAACATCCTATTTTGATATCCTTTCTTAGATAATTTCTGAAGACATCCTTCTCGTAAGAACTCCTAAAAATGAAATTTTAAGAAGTTAATTAATAAGAAAAACAGGGTCTCATTTTTCTTACAAGAAAAAGTATTGACAGAGAATGACTGAGATTCAACAAAAATTGATTTTGTTGGAAAAGAAATTTAAAGTGTAAAAGAAAACACAGTTAATTTTTTTACATAAAACTAATACAGTTTGAAAAAAAAGCAAGGTAAATGCAAAAGTTTTAATTTTTTTTTTTTTAAATTTCACAATTAAACTCATGTAAGTTTTGTAAGAATTTATTGTATTTTTTCATTAAACACTAGGGCTTATGTTAAGTTTAACGTAACTGCAAGAGACAAGAAAGTTTTACGATGCATAACATTTTTTGCATAGGAGAAACCTTTTTTTTTTCGCTGAACGATGAAGTTAAGAAAAAAAAACTATTAGTTGGAGAAATAAATTAGCACAAGTTTTGGCCATATAGATTTATATGGCTATTCAAGGAAGCTGATCTCAACAAATACATCAAAATAAGTTGCTTAAAGCTTGCGGATCACATCTGCCGAATGGACCCTTATTCCTTGACATATAAGCTTCAATTACCAACCAAAGGGAACTAGAGTAAGAGATCAGATGGCTTAACTGTGTGGAAGAGGATTTTAAAATCCTAAGAATTACTAACTGGAGAACAATCGCAAAGAAAAGAGCACAATGGAGGAAGGTTCTATGGAAGGCTCTCGAGGCTTTGCAAAAAGTTCTCATGCAAATAGAAAAAGATTTATAAATAATAAACAGATGGATTTGTGAGAAAGTTACCTTTAGAAAAACAACTCAGACAAATAAATCAGAAAAGTAAATTATAGCAAGAAAAAATTTTATATTCTAAAATTTAATTCATTATAATACTTAAAACTATAAGACTTAAATGTATCATAAGAATCAGGAATTTAATTCATTTTATATTATGAAAATATAGAAAAGCACAAATATGAAAGAGTGATACATATCAAGATGAAAGTTTATCACTGTGATTGTATTACATTTCTCAAATACTATTACATACCCTTCTTCCAGCTGTTAAATTGTCAATTCCAAACAAATCTCTTTGTAGCTCCATTAGTTTCACAAAATTAGCCTGGAATTTATTGAACATATAAACAAAAGTGCAGAAAAATTTATTTTAAAAAAAATGATAATTTACTCAAATATCTTGTACTGATTAGCTACTGTTCTGGTTATAGTTTTTGCCCATAAAATGCAACAAATTAAATATTAGCAAATTTATAATAGATAAACAAAAGTGAGTCAGCATAATTACATTTTACTTCATTCAATATAATAGTCTAGATAAAACCTGCCATATTATGATTTTAATAAATCAACACTGTGTTACTACAAAGAAAAAGAAATTTTTATTCAAATGAATTTGAGCAGTAAATTACTGATTTATGTTTTAAATATGCACTAGAAATTAAAATTCAACATTGAGCTGAAATAAGAGTTGAATGTTATAAAATCAAACTGAAAAGCAGTCCACCCTTTTTTTAATACAATTATCAAAATAACTTTGAAAAGGATTCAATTGTGTTTGACAGACACGTTTTTTTATGAATTAAAGTATTTCAAAAATCAAAAACTTAAAACCAACATTTTACTGAGTAGGATTGAAGATTCATAAGCATAATGTTTTCAGATGATAGGCAAGTATAAAACCAGTAGCAAATTCACTTATCAAAAGACATGCTCTGTCCCAGTTCAGACAGACATACTATAGCATAAATGTACCAGAGTCTTTTTAGAAAGAAAAAAATAACAATAACCAAACAAAAAAATTTTCAATAAATAAAATTTTTTCTAAATAAAATCTTAACATTATTATTAAATTTGAAAGAAAAAAATGTGAAAAATTTGAAAAAGTTCTGAGTTCAATTTTGATTCTTTTGGTATCAGGGTTTCCAAATTTAATTCATAGATTTGCTATGATTCAACACAACAAAAAATAATTTACTCATATTAATTTAAAGAAATGGAAATAAAAAGGAAAGTTTTCTAATAGAAAAATGGGCTATTAGGTTTCAGTATAGAACAGTAAAAATATGGTTTACACTGGTAATACATAAAAAAGTTACGAGAAAAAAAAGATAACGAGTAAAAAAGTAATTAGATATTAAATATAACAGTGTAAAAATCTTTCATACTGCCATTCAGAAAAATAAAGTGTTGCTTCTGATGTAATTTTTAACAAAAAATTAGGACTTATCTCAGAAATAACAAAAAAAATTAATTTTTTACTTGTATCTAAATACGCATCTGAAATGATTATCTAGACATGCAAAATACTGTTTTCTATGTAATTTTGCATGTCAAATTTAATAATATCAAAAGTGAGCCAATGGGATGAATAAGTTCAGAAGCTCCAAAGATTTTTATGTATAAAAAGTAGTATTTTTTAATTGTCTTCTCAGACTTTTATCCTTGTTGTTTGGTTATTAACTTAACAAGGCAGTTGTTTTCTTTGCAATTTTTATGCTGAATTGAATGAGACCAATTACAAGATGATAGAACTAACTGCTCAGAAATTATAAGGGTTTTATGCGCAAAAGGTACAATTTTGCACTTGTACCTAGTTATGCATCTGACATCATTGTACAATACAAGATAAGCATTGTTTCCTTATGTAATTTCCTGCGCTTAATTGATTAAGATCAAACATAGTCAGTAGGACTCATAGTTTAGGAGTTACAAACATTTATTTAAATAAACTGCACTATTTTTTAGTAGTAATTTATATGACTTAAACCTTATATAACTTTTTAACTATTTACCCTATTGACTCAAGTTTAGTCACATACAATTAAGCATAAATATCTTATCTGTCTTGATAAATAGTTCCCAAATGGTGTTCAGCGGAGCCCTATGTGTCCGTGGAAGGGTTAAAGTGGTTCTGAGAGTTAAGACTTTCTTTATTAAAAATGATTTTTGAAACCTATAATTATACAGGGTGTTTATAAAGTCCCGGACCCATTTTGATGCTTAATAACTCATAAAATAATAAAGATAGATTAAAATTAATAACATAAATGGTTAGATAGACTCAAAAAGTTTCATAAAAAGTTATATATAAAACCTAATTTAAGGTTATTAATGATAAAACAAAGAAAAATTTTTATTCCTCTTGTTAAATATTTTTAAAACAAAGTAGCCTTTTATTGGTTAATAAGTTAACAAATGTCTTTATTTATAAGGTTCCATTGCCAGAAATCATTGCAACTTATGAAATGCAAGTCCTATTGACTTGTGTATTGTCTCATTCAATTAAGCGATCAAAAATTCAGGTGAAACAATACCTCACTTAAATAGCTTAGTATAAGTTTCTCTTTTATCACTTTGACATAGGAAGTTTGACATAGGAAGTTTTGAGCTTTCCTTTAACTGTACAACAAACAGAAAAACAATAACATCCTGAGAAAAAAGTATTTATCAACTTAGATTTTAAACTAATTTTATAATTTAGATCACAATTTCTACATACATATGTAGCAAAGCATAAATTTCAAGAAGATTACTTACAGAATAATGAATATTCTTTATGAGCATATTTGTGACTTGCTTCAATTTAGCCAATACAGCTGAAAAAAAAAAATTTAAATTGCAGTAGTTTACTAAATGACTTTGCTTTAACTGAAATTTTCAAATAAAAATTTAGAGGAGGGTAGTGATGAGAATTCTAGAGAGAATAGCAAAAAAAAAAATGAATAAAATAAATTTAATTAGTTAAGTAGTGAAAATCACAACTGTGAATAGAATACTTAAAAATTTCTGTAATTTGCTGCATCAAGCAACAGGATTAAATCAAGAGTTCTCATGTAATATGTATATATTTATTATATCTAAATATAGATGTATTTTTAAAATGAATAAGAAATATTAAACTTTCAAAAAAAGATTATAAAAAATAAATATGACTTTTTATAGATTAAATTATAACATTTATGTTGATCAAATAATTTTATCTGAAGATTTTTATATTCTGAAATAGGTTTGGGGCCAATTGCCCTAGATAATTAAGATTACATAGTACCTCTCAAAAGCATCCTAATTTGCAAGGCAGTTGCTCACTAATGCATTGCTTAACATCAATTTGTGCAATAATTTTGAGTTTTACAAAAAAATACACCTCAATGTATACTCTATTCTTCAGCTTCATTGACTACTAATATTTAAGATTGACACTGATATTACATTAATATATGAAATTAAATTAAATTTTATAACAATTATGCAATTTTATATTCATTTGTTCCCCTTAAACAGTTAAAGTAGAGCCCCAACAATCTAACCAGGGATGTGTCATAAAATTTAAATCATCACATAAAGTGTATAAACATTAAATTATGAGAATAATTATTAAAAATAAGTAGTGACTATAATAAATCTGTGTTTTACTTTTATATCATCAATTAAACAATATCCCAAAAAATAATTTGTTTATGTTATTTTCTAGTAGTCAGATTTAAGGTTCATAATGACAACAGTAATTGGAAAACCATTCTTTATTTTCAAACCACTCAACACATTTAGTAAAAACTTCTTCATTATTGAGTTATACTACTACTAACACATTATACTCATTGCTGTTGGAATCATCAGATCCAGATGCTATTTTATTTAATAGGGTCTGAATAATTTTATCATTGCTAAGCTATTAATCCAAACTCATCCCACATCACATATTTTTTTAGGATTGGATTTCGATATCAAAGACATATAACCTGACACATTTTCTGTAGTTCCCTTTCTTGATTTTTTCCTTAGCTTCAATCAGATTTTTTCTTAAGTAAATGTTTTCCAAATTACACACTCTAATATAATCAGTTTTAACATTTACAAAAATTGTACCAACATCAAAAACTTTCTGCAACCTTAATGAAGGTATCAAATTGAACTGTGTTTCTATTCAAGTTGAACCTTAGTATCAAGTGACATAGCTTCAGAAGTAGAGTAACATGGTTCAGTATAATCACAGTAAGGTTGCAGCAAATTTGAACGATACTATGGCTCAACAAACTCCAAAATTTCTAATAATATTCTCAGGCTTGAGCTACATTAAAAATTGCATATTTTATCCTGCAAGATATCCAAACTTTTGATAATGTTTAATTTGTTTTCTAATAACACAGTAAAATAAAAGCTTTCTAAGCTAACCTTCAAACACACTCAATTGCCCCTTGTGCCATGTGTTGAAATAACAATTAGGTCGAAATGCTTTTAAAACATATCAGGAAGGGTGTTGGATAATCAAAGTGTTGTGTAATCGAGCATCAGTTAATCGCAGTTCTACTGCACATGTTTTTCTATGAATTCATTAAAAATGACATTTTGGATTATCTCAATGAAAAACTTTTTAACTGTGTTATTGAAAAAGCATTCTGAGTCAAATGTAAGTTTAAAGATTATTAACCTTCAAATTAAAATTTAAGATGAAACATTGGTAATGTTTTCCTTTGATCAGACAGCTACATATTAAGTTTATATAGGATAGGAAAGAATTCATTTTGGTTATGTTTTTAATTTTAATTTTAAAAATTTCAATGATGAGGGATATATTTGCTCTTTCTAGACTACTTTTTCCAAATTTAGCGATATTTTTTTGTAAAATGAATACATGATTAATTTATTACTATAGGCAGAATTATGCATTTTAAAAAGGAAGCATGAAAGAATTGTAATACAAACTCACTTTTGCAGTTCTTGGAGTCTGGATGATTATCACCATAGTGTTCTACAAGTCCTAGAAACAAAATTAGTAAAAATATATTTGCTTAAATGCTCAATATTAAAATGTACATTTTATTTACCCTACATTCCTAAGTGCAAGTTGGTTTAACAAACTCTCAAAATTTCACGAAAATCAGGGGGTCGACTTATACACTGGTAATAAAGTCAGACTTTCTTTGGTCGTGAACTTTGTATCAATTTACACCTTTCAAAAACTATTTTGAATAAATTATGTACAATTGAGTTTGTATTTTCTCTCATCATATTTTCTTTACATACAGAGGGGTTTTTTTAAAAACTTTTTTACTTTTACATTCAGAAAAAATTAAGAATAAAAAATTTTAAGATAGCTAATTTAAAAGTATTTCAAAAAATATACACAGTGGAAACTTATAAAACATAACCATAAAGTTACAAATTTAAAAATTCCAGAACATCATATCTGTTGAATTCAATACTGTTGGCCCACTCTGCAATAAATTTTCCACTCTGCAATAAATTCTACTTCGTCCTCATTTGCTGAGTCCCACAAAACATTGTATTCACCCCCTCCAAAGAATTTGAAATTCAAACACTTTTCATAAGATTTTACATAAAATTAGAAATTTTCATATTAGGTTTTCTTCAGCGGTCAATTTATACAACCGACATACCAGAAATGTACCATCTTGTAATAAAAACTATAGAGTCATACACTTGGATATATTGTAAATATAATATAACAAAATATTTACCATTTAAATTACAAGAGAAAAATTTAGATCTCAAAACCTATTAGAATCTATTCCAAAGAAATATAATAGTAGATTGAAAATTACGATACTATAACTTCCTACATTTCATAAGGAAAATTTTTTTTCGTGCCTTTTACAAGATTTAAAAATAATGAAAATATTCTACACAGTTGAATTTCAATTAGATGTTAATTCATACAAAATTTCTGAAGAAAAAAATTGCTGAATTTCCAATACAAGCAACAATACACCATATCAGTTAAGGACACACAGGAATAAGATTGAAGAACAAAGAGAAAGAATAATGAAAATGATGGAGTAGAAGTAAAAAATTACCATTTTTCGGATATTTTTAATATAATTTTCTGAAGGTTAAGAAAGAAATGCTTAAAAACATTTAAAATGTTCCCATGGTTAAATTTAGTAAAAATGTCTATTTCCACCAGTTTTTTAATCAAATTATAAATTTCTTGAGTTTTCCGTTTTTTGAAAACATGAAAAATAATTTTCAAATGTATTCTTACATGTGTGTATATTTTAAACATACAGCAGATATCTTTGCTGTACATATAAATATTGAAACAACAAATGGTAAAGAAAAAATTAATCCATACATACTTTTTGAAAGTGTTCAAACATTAAAGTGTTTAGCTGCACTTTTTAAAAAAAATATTAATGATCGATAACGTGCAATATGATTTTCAATCTCTTCATGGATAATTGGGGCTGTACAATAATAAATTAATTATTTCAAATTAAAAAACATATTTAGTTGTAGGCTTGAATGAAGGAAATTATATAGTAAATAAAACTTTAGATACATTAAATCTTACCTTAAGACATAAACATTTAAGAAATTTAGTTTATAGAGTAACAGGAATAAAAAAATTGGACTTACTTTCCATTAAACTTGAGTAATGTAATAATCGGTGAGCGGGACGAAGTAAAAATGATGTAAGTGGTAGGTAACACACCCTCTGCATTTCAAAATCACAGTACATTCGTTCAAAATGAGTATTTGAGTAGTAAGCACTGTTTAACTTTTCAAGAATATATGGTAACTTCTCAATATAATTTGTGTAAAACTGTAAAAAAAACATGAAAGGTTTTTCAGAATGTAAATAGTAATGATTAACAAAATTTAAAAAAACAATAGTAATAATAGAATAAGGTAATAAAAAAAAGTGAAAATCCTAAGAATAAAGCATAACATAAAAATGTCATAAAATGAGTAAATATTATCATAGAAAATAAAATAAGTAAAAGTACTGCACTTGTCATTTAAAAATTTTAATTTACCAATGAAAAAAATAGCTTTATATTTTGTTTAAATGCAACTAACTAAAAATACAGGTAACAACTGAATTTTAAGAGGCCAAGTTTTATAATTCAAATCTTATTTGTAAATGAATAAATAAACCTCAGGAGAAACCGAACTATCAAGAATCATTAATTTAAAAAAATTATAACATAAGTAAACTTTTAAGCGTTACTTGATAATCTGAAGTTTTCTACAATAGCATAGAAAATGTAAGTATGGATGTAATTTCAAAATAAATAGTCATAAAACTGGAGAAAGACTTTTGAAGTAATTAGTATACCAGCCACTTACTTTGAAGTTATTTATAAACAAAAATTGAATAACAGATATTTTAATTGTGAAAGTTGTGTTTATCAGTAAAGACATCTTATCATGATAAATGAAAGCAGAATGTAGGATAGTATTAATAAGGTTTTTAAGCAAACTTAAGAAAGTTGTAACGCATGAAGAAATGATCTAGTAGTGATATCAAGGATTTAATGTGATAAAAATACTAAAAAAATATGTGATTCAACCAGTGACTTTTGATGCACATATTTAATCGTGTTGTAAAACATTAATTTAGCTATAAGAGTTAGGTTGTGGTTTGTAAAGAATAAATTGCTCAGCAGCTGCATATAAGTTATTGAATTTAGAGTAGTGTGTCTGCATTAACTGCATACAAATAAACATAAAAAAAGTTTCAGAATTAATTGTATAACGGGACACGAATGAGATTTATAACATCAATACAAAATTTAAATGAGGCCACAGTCTTTACAATGGAGCATGAAAATTATAATAATTTATGATAAATGTTGTGACGAACATTGAAAGTTTAATTTTAATATCAAATTCAGTTTATTGGATGATATTTATAATCATATGGGTAATATATCATTATTTTTTATTGTATTCTATAAAATAATTTTAGAATTTGTTGTTGTTTTTCATTAAGAAAAAACAGTTTAGTCTAAGGAAATGAGATTAATGTCATTCCCTGAAAAAGTAGGCATTTATTCTAGTAAAGTTGGAAACTTTTACTCAAATCGGAATAAAATTTTTGGTCTTAATAGGATTTCTTTGCAGTTACCGTGAGAAAAGAAAATACATCTCTTCCATACTAGAGTAACATTTAAATAAATAAAACTTTGCAAAACAAATTAAAATTTTAAAAATGTTTATTAAAACATTTATATTTGTACAGGACAGAATAATATACTTTACCTCAGTCATTTGTACTTTTTTCAAAAATATATCACCAGGTCCTTGAATGAAAGTCTGAAGAGGCATACCAGTTCTTCCTTCCCTACGAAAAAAATTTTAATTAGAAAAGAGAAAACGCTATAAAAGACCGTTCATAAAATATTTGATAATAACAGTATAGAATTAGCAAAGGAGTGAAATTTTAGAGGTTAGTGTTTGATTTTCTTATTAAACACTGCTGGTGTTCAATAAGAAAATTTTATTCAGTAATAACATGTTTCGTTTTGTTAATTTTCCCCACTAACTCCTTTTCCTTTGCTACAGCTTTTAAAATTCCTTATTTCATTTCTAAAAAATAATGGTTTTGACATTGATAAGTCTAGTTTTTCTTATTTCTTTCTTAGTGTAAGAAATTTTGAAAAAAAAATCTAAAAGATTCTTTTAAAATCATGCGTTTGTTGAAATGGAACATTTCGAACAAACAAAAAAATCAAGAATATCAGGACAAAATGTTAGAAAGCAGGACATAATATTGTTAACCTGGAAATTCGGAAATTTTAGGAATTCCCGAATTGGGAATATAATTAGTGAAGAGTGAGTGCTTCGCTTTATACACATATATGTATAATATTTTATCTTCCATAATATTTCCTTCAATGGAAAAATAGATCCAGATTACAAATTATATTTTTATAAAGTGCGTACATGTCATGATATCGTGGGCAACGGCCCATACCCAATGTGAGTACTAAACCACATTTTAGCAGAGTTATATGTCATAAAAATACATATCACCAATAACTATTAAATAGAAATTTATTTAATCATTTTAAATAACAAAAAAATAACATTAACATCAGCAAATACCGACATCACATTTTGGGATCATTATTAGTCGCATATTTATAGAAGAGACTACTGAGAAACGTCATTCCTTTTAACTAATCAAGAATACTCTAATCTGTAAGAAACTAAAGTTAAAGTTTATAATAAATATGTTTATTCTTCCACAATTACTACCAATAGGATTATTACTCCAATAATTACAAAATATAGAAATGAAACTTAAAAGTTTTTCTTCTTTTTATCTGATAAGGAACTAATAGTCAACATTTGAGACTGCTATTCATACTTTGAACAAACTGTCCTCCCAATGAAATGTTCCCAGACGTCATCCACAGGATTGTCTCTAGGACTAGTAAAATTAAGGTAAATTGATGCAATTTATATTGATGGTACAGTGCACCAAACAAAGGACCACCCTGAATAACTTTTGATCTAATGATCAGATCTTCAAATTCTAGAACACATTCTTAATGGTTCGAGGGGGCAGAGCCGGATTATACCTTTCGTAGGCCCTAGGCAAAGCCGTTTTTGGGCCCTCCCCTCCTTCCCCCACTCCTCCCCTCTTTTCAAAATATATGCTAAAATTTTCTTGCATATTTTTTTTTACATTTTTATTAATATGGATTTTAATTTGAATACGACATTTTGCGCAGTTTGGAATTCGACAGCATAATACAAGATTTCGTTGAATCCAAAAATAGCAAAAAAGTAATATATTAGATCATAAGATTCTGCAAAATGATTTATTACCGAAAAATATTATATTTTTATTTGTATCTTCATAATTTTGTGCAAAATACACTTGTTGTTTTTAAAGCTAAATTACTTTTGTCAACAAATTTTTTTCTCCCAATTTTCTCGTAGGCCCCTGAATTTCGTAGGCCCTAGGCACGCGCCTAGTGTGCCTATAGGTTAATTCGGCCCTGCGAGGGGCGATTTCAAATATGCAAATTAATTAGTGCAGACACTACTTTAAGTTACAAAATCAGAAGCAAAAATGTACTTTCTCTGAATAAACATTTGGATTTCGGAGCAATCTGGAAATATGGTCCCCATAGTTTGATCACAAGGGATCCAAAGTTTTGACCATTTAATGTTAATTTTACTTTTTCGTATTTTGCCATATCTCGAGAAATTTTAAAGCAAATTAATGAAACATTTTTGCACACAATGCAATGCAATGAAGACCTGAATATTAGATTAAAAGTTATTCAGGGTGGTTCATTTTATTGACACACTGTACAGCATGCAATAGCTGTGACAGGAATACCAATCTAATATGATTCATTATTTCCATGTTCTAATATTGTATGAAAATTTGAAATTTTATTCACATGATTCGATTTTATTTCAGTCAAATAATAACAGGGGGAACAGATATACTGCATTCATATAATAATTTATAACAAAATCTCCACTCATAGACGCTACTATCCCACTATCTTAAGCCAATTAAAAATTATAGCCTTAAACACATCATATTTTATTAAAATATAAGTTAAATAAAACAAGAAAAAGAACACAAGTTTTGAAGTAAATGATTTGATGCATACTTGTTATTTAGGAATTACTTCTTATATAATTAATTTTACATGGTTTTTGATACAGCAATTAAGTAATTCTTGCAACAGTCAGCTACTTAAACATTTTCTTTGAAATTTTATATGCTTAGATTCTTGAAGTTCAGCTTAAGTTGGAAATTGCTCAAACAAATCTGAGTAAAATACTCACTATAGTGTTTTAACAAAAACTTTGGCCAATAAAAGAAGAGGAGTTGCTGTTAAGAGAGGAAAAAATGTCTCATTCATGGATCTACACTTAGATTACTCCACAAAAATTATTTACCAAATAAACTTTGTACTACTTGTTTTAAATTTTACCAATAGACATAAAAATAGAAGAGTTTTATTTTTGCATATCATATTTCATAATAAATGCAATTAATCTAACAACATCCATTACAAAAAAAATGCTTACCATGTTGCAAGTCTATGTTCAAGTTCTCTGAGAAATGAACAATGAAACTCATATAATGGATCAACAACTCCAAATAAAACTGCTAAAGCTTGAGTAGGCATGTTTTCTTCTTTGCTAACTTCATCTCGAAACCACTTAAATATAAACAAAAAAATCAATTTTAAAAAAAATAATTAGCTGCCTAATATTTTATCTCTTATTTAAGTATTAAAATAAAAAAGGGAAATAGTAGTTCCTTATCTTACCACATTAATGAGTTCCAAATCTTTTTTATAAGTTCGCTCAGTCATCAGAAGTTCTTTAGAAATAAAGTAGGCCTTATCAGCAGGAATTCTCTTAAAAAGAATAATATAACATTAACATACATCAAAATTAAATACCTATACAACCAATAAGACACAGAGGTAAATTTCAGACATTTAATTCAATGTTCAGTTAATTAGTTAATTTAATTTAATTTAAAGAAAATAAATTAACAATTTTTAAACTATATTTGTACAATCTACATTCTGCAGTACAACTTAACTTTACAGCGACCCTTCCATCATAATGACCGATACACTAAGTCCTGTTTTACATTCGATAAATGTAATGTTATTTTAGTATCCACAAGAATGTTTGCACTGAACAGTTCATTCCAATATAACATCTATATTTAGTTCTATTTTTTATTCTCTTGAAAATCATTTCAAAAATAAGTGTCAAACATTATTCTACTTCAAAAAAAAAAATTTAAATAAATGCTTCCAATGACATAGTAAAAGTTTGAAAGAAATTATTAAAACTAGTATTTCTTTTGAAGATATTGCACAGCTTGAATTCTCTTTAAAGGAAAAAACCTTGCATGACCTCTTAGATTCTTAATAAAGTTGCTTGACAGTTACATGTAGAAGTGTGTAAATGCCTGGGAGCAAACTCCTTGATTAGATGCCCTAGTAAAGAGAGGCATAATTACTGTATGGGACCATTAAAGTCCTGTTTAAACAAAAAAAAACATAAGTTAGACGTAAATTATATATGTATGAACAAAAATCTAAAATGATTTCATTTTTAATTTTTATTTATTTATTTGAAAACTGTAGCAAAAATTACTGTAGGGTAAAAAATTATTTTCAATGTGATCTTTAATTTTAGTATTTAAATTAGCCCAAAAAAATCATCGTTAATTTTTTTTAAATCGTGTTATTCAAAAAAAATTTATAATGAGTTTGAAAATTTGTTCATTATTACATTTTTTTGAATATCATTATGAACAGCAAAATGATATGCTTATATTTCTAATTTGGTTGACGTATATATGAAATTATTTTTTTTAACATCTTTGATGCCTGAGGAATATAAATCAAAAGTTTATGTACTGTTAAAATCATACTACTTTTCAAAACAGAATTTTATTTTTTTATTGTCTATTGTATTTATATCTGCCCTTTAATTTCCCTCTTCTACACACCACAGTTCAACAAATCTAGCATTATTTAGTTACATAAAAAATATGTAAGCACGAAAAAAACCGATTAATTTTATTTCTCGGTCCCTTCCTTTTTATAACTACTTCACAAACACAAATAATTGTTTTGCACAGTTAAATAATCATCTTAAATTTTCTTACTTTTCTTCTGACTTCAGTATCTGTTTCTGACCTTGGTGAATGAGCAGTGCTACATTGTTCTCGAAGACTGCGTAAGGGAGATGTAGGAGATCGACTCATTTCCTCATCACTGGAAATACATCTGGTAGATATGGAAGTTGTTTCACTGTGGATATTGCTGCTACTTCTTGGTTGACTGACAGGGCTGGATAGGTCTTTAGCTGGAGATTGGTAGGGAGGTGGAGATTCAAAAGCTGTGGAAGACAGCCATGGGAATACTAACTACTATCTAAGACTAATACTAACTAACTTTAACCTAATTACTGTGTATTATTGCTATATTGCTGTGTATTATTACTAAAAAGAATGAAGTCTTTCATCATTTCTATTCAACTTTCTCCAAGGACAAGAATTTTAAATACACACAATTTATTCTGAAAAATATGGCAAATTTCTTCATTTCAGCTACAAAGCATTTGCTGGTTTCAATAATGATAATAATAATTACTAACATAAGACTGCTACCTTAACAAGTTGACTAGGCTAATATGATTAATAAATGACTCGTAGTATTGCAATGCTTTGTTATTCTAGAAAATTAAAAGCGGCAACATTTTATAAGTATAGAAGGAAAGTGTGATTCTACTACTATTATCGTCCTCATAGTTTATCACTCCCCGGTAAAAATTATATTTTACTAATGCATGTATTAAAAAAATTTGTAGCTCTAAGATTTTATGGAACTTTTTCAAATTTACTGTTCCCAAATTCCTTTGGAGAGTATCAAATCTATGTATATACAATGGATATAATTAAATTACTATATTGAATCCTATGTAAGCTATCCAAAAACTCTAGTTCATTTATTAAATTTTATAAGATATAAGTAATTATACAAAAAAAGAGAGAGAAAAAAAAAGATTCCATAATGAATAAAAAAATTAAGTTCAAATTGTAACTGCTAGGTAAAACAATAGTAAATAACAAAAAACAAATTTAAAAATTTTTAATTTAAAAACTTGTTCAATGAATATTTCACTTGCAAGTTGAGAGCACAGAGAAACATATTTAACGGTTATTACAACTTTTCGAAACCCCATAAGCCTTCTTTTCAAAAATACTTAATTTTTCGAATGCTATTGAACTAATTCTGTGATTAAACAAAGTTTTGAGTTTCTGAGTTGTTTTCTTTTTAATTTATGCATTGTTTCAGTAACCAAATCCATGTGTCAAGAAACTGCAAGTCAAAAGCTGATATTTAAAAAAAAATAGAATCACTTTCTTATAATCTATATCAGCGAGAGCTAAACTGTGGTTCACGAAAAAATTGCTCACGACAGCAAAATATTTAACAATCAAGGATTTTTTCTTAGGTAACATTAGTCAAATTTCTTGCCTTTCCATTAATTAAAAGTTATCTGCAACCATTGAACTTGTACAAAAACTGGAATAACTGGCACCAATGCGTCTAGATGGTTTTTACGTATTCTTAGAAACTGATCATTATATTTTGGTTTTTAAAATATAAATTTTTTTTTTTATATTTTTAAAAAAATTACTTTTTTTTTAAATTTATTTTTTATACTTCGAAAATTTTTATATTTTAATTTTTTTATATTTTAAATGACATGTAAAATATTTCTTTTGTTGTAATTTTGTGCACTTAAAAATAGTGTAGAACAAATATAATTATTGTAAATTTCAAAATATTTATAATGTATTTTCGGTTGCTTTAAAACATCCTTATGGAAAAAATGGTTAACTGTTTACCCATCAGTTTCACCACACAGTGAAAAGATGGCTTTCAAGAGGTAAAGTACTAAGCAAGTTATTTACTCAGTGACAAGAAATTATATTTTTCTTCTAACAATTAAACAGTACATAATTCCTGGAATCAGGAAAGGCTAACAAAATTTGTAGCTTGGTGATGTTCTTCTTATTTTAAACAAGCTAAACAAGTTTATGCAAGAGCAAATAATAATTTGCAAATGTTTTCAAATTTTGAAAAGTTTTTTAATTAAGAGTATGTAAGTCAAAATGTAATATCTCTTGAAAAGTCACTATTTCAATCTTTCAAGCATTATTATCCAAAAAAATCACAATTTGTAGATTTTTGATACATAATCAAAATTCAAAAAATGTAAATTACAGATATATGAAAAAAATTCAGAAAATAAAATTTTCTGGAATTCAACTAAGCAGAAAACAAGTTAAAAATAAAAGTAATTTATCCTTTTGCAGATATTTAGCAAGAATTTTTTTTTTCTATGAGGGAAATTTAGAGAACTGTTGTAATGTATATTTTAAATGCATATTCTTATTTAATATAAATATATATTTCGTTATTACATCCATTAAACTAATAATGTGCATTAAAATATTTTATATGCAATTTATACCTAAGTTTTCACAAATAATTATACACACAATTTTAATGCAACTAACATATTAGTTATTAAAAATTCAACATTATAAGTAGCATAGAACTTCACCATGTTAAATTTTAAATGTCAGAATTTAAAATTTGCCAGATTTATATGGAAAAAAAACATGTCAGTTTATAAGAAATATGACGTTTTATTAAACATAAGCTTTTTTAAATTCGTATTACAGGAAATACTCAAACAATTTTTTTAAATAGTTTTAACAAAGTTTTGATATTTCTTACATTAAAACCTTGATGCCTCAAACTTAAATAAATCATGAAGGAAAAAAAAACAATTAAAACATCAAAACTCATTCATTATTAATAAGAAAAAATATAATTTATTTCAGATGGTTAACTGTTTTAATGAGGAAGAGATGTCTCAATTTTTTGTGAAGCATTAAAAAAATTTTTATCAGTGAATGGTGCTTTGATCAACTGGTTGCACATAGCACACAAAGTTAATTCATGTTCACCATGCATAGTACTCAATAATGTTCAATAAAAATTTTAAATTTTCTTAAGTTTTCTAATATTACTTGAGATTGTGCAATTGTTAAAAAATCAATAATAATGCAATTCACACTGGTTGTGCAATATATTTGAAAAACAAAGTATCAAAATTTTTTCGAGTTTCCCACTTTTTATCATTGTTGCTTATCAGCCATACCTCATAACTTTTGGCTTTGCTGATAATAAGAAATGTATTTAATTTTGTATTCAGAAAATCTTGTCGTATTTATTATTAATATGGCATAATTTTTAAATATGTTGCTCTTTTGCACACTTAGTTTACACTAATATACAGTTTATAACATAGATAATTGGTAATAATTACAATCTCCTTTAATGAATATAACTGCAATTCAGTCTTTTGAATTACCGATATTTGGTTGCCTGAGAGATTTTCATTATGGTAAACATATGTGTTCTTAAATGCTGTTTTAAAAAGAGAGTCAAATTATTTACTGAAACAAATACAAAGTACATTTTTTTAAAAGAAGCTAGGCTAATAGCAGAAAAAATTTTATGCTTGTACGACAGTTTATCTCTAGTATGTGTATAACTACATAATAACTCAACTTATTACTGTTTCTGATAATTCAAATAAGATCAGAAATTTAAAAACAAATATTAACTATAGGTGAAATTAGACTCAGAAAATAACTTGGTGTTGAACAATTAATGATGCATTGAAAATCATTATTAAATCATGGAGTTGGGTGAAACTGAGGACTACTAATGCGGTGAGCTGGAAGACTATGACAGAGGCTCTATGCTCCAAGCTGGAATGATGAGGTTGAAAACATTGCCTGTTGTAATATTTTTCATTATTAATGGAAGCGTGTGATATTATATGACATATTAATCATATTGATGTCTAGCTTTATTGGTGACATCAAAAAGTTTCCTAGTCACACTAAGTCCTAGTTGAGAGATCTGTCAAACTGGTTATGGAAGCCTCAATTAAAGTATAAAGTTAAGAACATGAAAGCTAAAGATTGCTAAGGTAGATCTAGTCCTACCAACATCAGTTTTATAAAAACATTAAACAGTTTCATAAAAACATTAAAGTTTTTTAAAACATTATCTTCAAAAATGTAATCCCTAGTGATTTTTTTTTCTACTTTAAGGTAAATTGAAAATCATACAAATGGACCTCTAGCTTGAATGGTTGGTTAGGTAGGGGTCAGATAAAACTGAATATGAATGACAAATTTTTTATCATTTTGAGCTAAAAAAATAGGTAAGGCAAGAAACTTTTAAATTTTTAGCAATGCAGATTTTTCAAACACATTGTATATATATATGGCAGTAAATGGCAAAAGAAACTTGAAAATACGTGTAAAATTCTCTTTTTCCAACCTCATTGCATGACTCACGTGCATTGATTTAATAATGATATTTTAACTTATTTTTCACATGGCTGAAATCACATGCCATTTTTAAAAAAAAAATTTATGAAAAATTTTAAATTTTGAAAATTTTTGTGGGGTGCGTGACAGGAAGGTATTAGTTAATTTTATTTCTTCTTATGTCTATTTTCTTCTTAGCACATTTATTTTGCACTGTAGCATTTTGAAAACAAAGACTTCTCTTTTTCACCCATATTAACACACACACTTTTAATGGTATCATGTCGTAATGAACTTTACAATGACAAGAAAAAAACTTTATCGAAGTCTGACAAATCATTATAAAGGATTATCATAGTAAAAATGGAGTGAAAATCACAAAAACATTTCATTTAACAAAAGAACCCTGAATTAAATTCATAATAACTTCAATTGGATAGATTTAAAAGAAATTATTTAGAAAGATTTCATCGTAATTTGATTAGAACATTGTGTGTATTGTAGAGTCACTTTATATTAATTTTAAAAAAACAGCACTGTAATTTTAAATTACATTCTACGACAATTTGAAATAGTTGAGAATCCAACCTGCCATTATAAAATTGTCAATGCACCTCTATGAACATGGCTTATATTATTGTTAATATTGAAACAAAAAAGTTAATTTTTGGCATTAAGGCTTATTTAGAATTCTGCGATAAAGGACAAACGCGCCCTCTTTTTAGGAATCTTTCTCATTTATGTGACAATTTTCAGTGGTCCCCCAAAGAATATGGAAAAAATTATTTAACTTATTCCTGTAATGCACTAAAAACGAACCTCTCACTTATATAACTCTCATCTCTATTAAAATGAAACCCATTATGAAAAATTCTGAGAAAAGAGAAATTCTTTTAAAGAATAAACGATGTTATCTTCATTTTGAAAGATATACATTACTTGCCCTAGAGTAGGATTCTTCAGTATTTGCCCC